AATAAATAGAGACTGCTTCAACAACATTCGATTTTGTACATAGAAGAGGAATAAGTTCTGAGGCAGTTCTTTCAAATCGTCAGGGACAAGGAATGCAAGTTCCCATGTTAAGATTGTAATCTACAGATTTGAATTTCAAAATCGACAGATTTGAGCGAAGTTACTCATAGAGGTGGGCGGAAGTGGTGCAGTGGCAAGTGGCGCGCTTACCACGCGAGCGGTCCGGGGATCAAATCCTGGGTCGTGAGTCGCCCGGGCCAAGCCTTCCATCCCTCCGGGTCGGTTAATTGGTACCAGACTTGTCTGGGAGGATAAAAACACTGACTTGTACATCGGCTGGCCCCGCAAGTCATTGTATAGGCCACATCGCATTCAAACGCCACTACGAATGTACAAATGGAAGTAGAATGCGTGCCGCATCCCAAAAAGAGGCTGATCAACGGCAAATGCTTTCCATTTTTTATTTTTATTCATGAGATTCTCCTCTCCACTTTTTGCCAGTCCCCCGATTTCGGTTTTGCAAGAAATTTCGGCGGCCATCGACCATCGTAGGACAAAAGTGATGATCGGACCGATAAACGAAGATGGCGAAGATCAAAAGGAAAACTTCTTAAGAAATTTCGTCTGAATTTCGAACGGCTGTGTAGAGGTGATGGCGCTGATTCCAAATATATACGTTATTTTCTGTGTCGCAACCATTGCAAAGACTTATTTCACAATGATACTTGCATTGGATTTCTTTCAGGCCTTATCACTTATCGATTGACGATTTGGAGCAGCCATCACTGGCCTTCTAGCTGTCTGCAGAACTAGAGGAGGCCTAAGCCCTGTAAAGATAAGGATTTCAAGGGAGGGGAGAGGTGCTTCAGCGTTAGGGCTACCTCACTGAAGGAGGGGTTCCGAGCCTCATGAGAAAGTAAGGCGTAGTGGAATCGGCGTTTTATTTCCGGAAGGGGGAATCAGAACGTGATTATGTTGTATGGCCTTTTCGGCAAGTCTTCTCTTTCGAACGTGTCTTTCTTCGACAGGCAGCTTCGTCGAGGTACTGTCGTTAAAGAAATTCGACCCTGCTACAGTCTAAACCTTCTCACAAAATTCTGACGCATTCATAGTCGAATAAGGGCTGTCTATAAATTGAAAAAAAACTCCAAAGTTTCTGTTTGAAGCATATCCTCGTGAAAGTCGGAAGCTGATGTGGAAATTGATTCTGGAAAGCGTAGCGCGCAAATGGCTTTTTCTGGTGTTTATAGAAACTACAAATTTATTCATTGACTAATCTAGTGGGCGTGTGTTACACGTCCCATCAATGCTAAGGTGTTAAAATTATGTGCATATGCAGGGCGAAGTCCTTGATTCGAGAAATAACCTTCATCTATCCCCTTCAAATGGCACATATATACCAGATGCACAGCATTCACACCTTCTTACCATCTTTACTGGAGCACTATTCAAGTCTACCGTTTGAAGTCCATTTCGATGTTTGGAATTGTATGTATGCTTAAGAATTCGGTCTGAAACTTAACGCTGCATACAGTTTCTCCCAACACACTTAGCCGAACTCGCCAAAGAATTTTTGCTCTCAAAGGGCGGCGGCTACGATAAATTTCAGAGGGTTGAGTGTGACGTGGCAGTGCTCACTAGTAAGACGGTAGCG